ATTTGGCTGTCATTTTCAGAAGTACCCAGGGTTTAAGTAGCTTTGCTTTCTTTGAGATTCACTATTGACACTACTGACAGTGTTAAGTCCACACTGAGGCTTTTGGAAAATCATACCCATTATAAGTCAATAAAAAAGGGTTGCTTTCTGAACTAGAAGAATCAGCTGGGTGATGCACAGAGACTCATAATTTTTCAATAAATATTTCCAGTGGTCTTAATAGCAGGAGCGAGGCAGATAGCAGGCGGTAAACTTTCATTATTCTGTAAATCACCACAATCCTCCATGTTATAATATTATTAGCAATAATAATAGTAATTTATAAATAAATGTATGTATGTACTTCAGGTTAAACCTTTCTAGTCCAGCACTCTCTGATCCCGCAACATCCATGGTCAAGGATGATTTTAGCCAGAAGTCCACTTATCGTTGGCATGGCCAAATTTCCAGTGGTCCCATAAACTTTCTTTACAGCCACCAGTCCTGCTCTGTGCTGTTATTTAGCTCTAATTTACCCCTAATTATCTTCTGACAATCCAGCGATAGAAGTGCTGGTAATGCTGCTAGACATTATTGACAACACTCTTTTAGGTATTGAAAGCTGTTGTCATGTCCTCTCTCAGCCTTCTCTTTTCCAGCTAAAACAAACCCAGTTCTTTCAGTCTTCCCTCATAGGTCTTGTTTTCTAGATCAGTGACTTTCAAACTTTTTTTTCTCATGACTCAGTTAAAGAAAATTGTTGATGCCTGTGGTTTAACATAATTTGACTGGAGTGGGGGCTCTGGGGTGGGGCTGAGGATGAGAACTTCAGCTTTGGGGTTGGTCAGGGCTGAGGCAGGGTGGGCTTACCTCATGTAGCTCGTGAGTGCAGCTGAGGGTGCTAAGGTAGGTTTCCTGCCTGTGTTGGAACCACTGACCATGCTGCACCCCAGAAGCAGCAAGTAGCAAGTTTTAGCTAATGACAATGCAAAGCTAGTGCTCAGGGTGGGAGCAGTGTATGGAGGCCTGTGCACTCTTCTGCTCCCTGCCCTCACCTAGGAGCTGGGCCTGCTGCTGGCTGCTTCTGCTGTGCCGCGCAGTCTGCAGTGCTAGGACAGTCAGAAAGCTTACAAATGCACTCCCTGTGATGGGCCGTCCTCGGCCTGCATTCCGGCTGGTGGGAGGAGGCGGGGAGTGAGTGAAGCAGTGGAGGAAAAGCCCCAGCGGCAAGGACTCTTCTGCTCCCTGCCCTCACCTAGGAGCTGGGCCTGCTGCTGGCTGCTTCTGCTGTGCCGCGCAGTCTGCAGTGCTAGGACAGTCAGAAAGCTTACAAATGCACTCCCTGTGATGGGCCGTCCTCGGCCTGCATTCCGGCTGGTGGGAGGAGGCGGGGAGTGAGTGAAGCAGTGGAGGAAAAGCCCCAGCGGCAAGGCGCCGACACCGGGGCAGGAATCTGCCTCCGTGCCTGCACAGCTGGGGAAACACCGCCCCCACCTTCGGCGTTTGGCCAAGAGGGGTGGAGAGTGACTGCCCAGACACTGCAGGGGAGCGCCCCATGTCACCGGGAGGTCGGGCCCTCCGGACGACGTCACGTCCAGCGGGCCATTTTAAAATGACTTGCCGCTGGTGTGGAAGGGGGCAGCTGCCACAGCCGCCGGAGGGTGGACTGGGGCTGAGAGGCCACCTGGAACAGCCCCCATGACCAACAGATGGCGAACCCTCTCCGCAGAGTGGCCCCTCGCCAATCTTTCCGGAGGCAAACGTTGCATCCCGGACTCCAAGCAGCCCAGGAGAACCCCCGCAGAATGTAACGGAAGTGACGGACAACCAAGAAGTCCCCCAGGCACCAACTGTCAGAACCATGGCTAGGTGCAGGGGCAGTAGAGGGCGGGCCCAGGGGGCCCCTAGAGGGGAGGAAGCAGCTCGGGGTGGGGCCTTGGTGGCGACCGTGGGCAGACGTGTTGAGGGCGTAAAAACCCCCACCTGCCATGCAGGGGCACTGTTGGCCCCCTGCACTTAGGGCCCCAGGCTGGGACCCGGTGGAGAGGGTGGGCCCGGGTCCCTCTCCCCCTCTTTACCCACAGCCACATGCCCTGCTGTATGGCAGCGTGCGTTGTTGCCGGCAAGCCAGGCAGGCAAGGTCGGAGGGACTAGCCCCGAGGAGGGGGTCTAAAACTAACTGTGGGTTCTGGACCCACAGGCCACGGAAGTAGAATGGACAGCGGGTTAGCTGAATCCCCCCTGCTCATCAGAGAGGGGGTGATCATACCTGACCCACCGGCCCCCGGCCCAAGGAATCAGGCCCCGGGGATTGACTAGTTGGACAAGAGGGTCCACCAAACCCCCTTTCCCCGTTGGCATGGTGTGATTGCACCCCAAAGCTCGTCCACACTCCCCATTGATCACTCAGCAACAACAAGGCCCAGTTCCTGACATTCCATGACCCAGTACTGTGTTGTGACCTAGTTTGAAAATTACTGTTTCTAAATCTTTAATCACGTTTGTTGCTTGTCCTCTGGAACTTCTCCAATTTTCCCCATCTTTCCTTACATGTGGTGCCCAGAACTGGACACAGTACTCCAACTGATGCCTAATCTGTGCAAAGTCAAGTGAAAGAATTAATTCTCATGTCTTGCTCATAAAACTCCTGTTAATGCATCCCAGAATCATGTTTGCTCTTTTTGCAAGTGTCATATTCTTGGCTCATATTGAGCTTGTGGTCTACTATGGTCCCTATATCCTTTTCTTCTGCACTCCTTCCCAGACAGTCGCTTCCCATTCGGTATGTGTGAAACTGATTGTTCCTAAGTGGAGTACTTTGCATTTGTGCTTATTGAATTTAATAACAGACCGTTTTTCTTGTTTGTCCAGATTATTCTGAACTATAATCCTATCCTCCAAATCACTTGCAATCCTGCCCAGTTTGATATTATCCATAGACTTTATAAGCATACTTTCTATGCTGTTATCTAAATTGTTAATGAAAAAATTGAACAGAACTAGTCCCAAAACTGATCCCTTCAGAACCACGCTTGTTATGCTCTTTTATCATGACTGGGGACCATTGATAACTACTCTTTGAGAATGTTATCAAAGCAGTTATGCATCTGCTTTATAATGGTCCCATCTACATTGTATTTCCATTGTTTAATTATAAGAAGATAATGCGAGACTATGCCAAATGCTTTCCTAAAGTCTATGAATTCCACACTACCATTTCATATATATCCAAAAGGCTTGTTAACCTTTCAAAGAAAACTATCAGGTTGGTTTGACAGATTTGTTCTTTACAAATCCATGCTGACTATTACTTGTTACCTTATTATCTTCCTGATGTTTGCAGATGGATTCCTTAATTATTTGCTCCATTATCGTTCTTGATACAGATGTTAAGCTGACTGGTCTGTAGTTTCCCAGGTTATCCAGCATTCAGTTATTATTATTCAAATACCACCCACCTTCTTAGTGACATCCAAAACAAAGAAGTCTTTATGTGCCATTTTCACATTTTCTGCAATTATTTTCCCCTCTTCATTGGGTAATGGGCCTACCCTGTCCTTGGTCTTTCTGTTGCTTCTAATATACTTGTAGAACGTTTCCTTGTCACCCTTTATGTCTCTAGCTAGATTGAGTTCATTTTGTGTCTTCATCTTTCTAATTGTGCCCTTACATACTCATGCTATTTGTTTATATTCATCCTTTTTTACTTGGATCTAATTTCGATTTCCTGTTACTGACTTCTAAGGCCTGATACAAGAAATTTATATTCCCTAATTAAAAAGGTAAAAATATTTATCAGGAAAAGTGCTTGTTGCAAAGGAAGATGTCAGACTTATTTCTTGGAGTTTATTTGCATCTGCTTCTCTATCATTTCAGAGTTATCCAATCTGCCAAAATGAATTATGAATTTCACCAAAGCCCTCTGTCTCAAGAGAATTCTGAATAATGCTTCTTTCCAGCTAGCATCTTTCTGTATTTTGCTTCCCATTCAAGCCATAACCAAGTAGTACAGATTAAGGCAGAAATAGTTATCCACATTTTTGTTTTGAAGCCATAAAAAATATTCAGTTAGTGTTTGTAGAAAACATTGGGGGGATTTTATACAAACTAAGCCTGGTACTCAGTCCTACAAACAAAAGGGCCCACTCCTGCAAAATAACAATCTCCTTCAGCTCTGAATGACTTTACCCAGAGACTTGTCTAAGTAATGACAATGCACTATAGGATAGGGCCCATGTTCTACAGTTTGTAATTTTTCTATAAAAATCAGGAAAACTGATTTATTTCAAGTCTCAATGTCAAATCTAGTCACATAGGAACAAATCTGAATCCCTCCTTCAATGTGCAGACAACACGTCATTTAATGAATCTGGGCTGATTCCATTCGGTGTCAAGGAACAGAATTATTCAAAAGTGGGGATGCTCAGTAAGCATTTGCATCACTTATCCAGAGCCCAGCACCACTGGGGAGTCATGCCCATTCCATTCGGTGTCAAGGAACAGAATTAAGCATTTGCATCACTTATACAGAGCACACCACCACTGGGGAGTCATGCCCTTGGGTAAAATGGGAGAAAAGAGCCAGGAAAGATAGACACTGGTTCTGGATCCATTGCTTTGAGCCTTTGCTCCCTGGTGAGTGGGATCATGGGCAGCAGAGATGCTGCTCAGACGGGCTCCACAGTGGGTTCTACAGCATAGGGGAAGGATTCATTTTCTGTTTGAGTCTTAGTAGGGAATACAGTAGACTTCCAATAATCCGGTACCTTTTGGACCTAGGTGGTGCTGGGTTATCAGATTTGCCGGAGAACCGGGAGGTCTCGTACAGCTGCATGGCTTAACAGCTGGCCAGGACACAATCTCTCTCCCTCTCCCCTCCCCTTTCCTCTTCAAGACTCCTTCTTGCTGTAACGTGATCCTTCTTCCTCTCCCCTCCCCTTCCCTCTTTGTGTCTCCTCCCTGCTGTAACCTGATCCTCCTTCCACTCCCCTTCCCTTTCCCCTTCGCTGAAGCAAAACGCTCTTCTCCATAATGTAACATGATCCCACTCCCCCCTCCCCCAGCCTTATGCTCCCTCTGGTTACTGCCAGCACATGTGCTGAGCAGCAGACTTTTAATCGGCTGGTCAGGAGCGCTTGGCATTTTGATCCCGGAGTATTGGGAGTGCCGAACAGTTGGATGCTGGACTGTCAGAGTTTTACTGTACTAATGAGTGATTACATGGGCTGTGTGATAATTTCCAGGGACAGGGCCTTAAAGAAGCAATTATTCAAAGTTTAATAACTCTTTATAAAAGCCCTTTGATTTAACAAGCAGTTAAATATTTGTTGTGTCCAGAAAAGTTATCATCTGTTTCTGTCAACTAAATTGCAACTGCATCAGACTCACAGTGCTATGACATTGCCTCTAAGGACCTACATCAGTTGTGCTTCTCAGACAATATTATAAAATACTGTTATTTCAATTTTTATATTTTCTGTAACAGATTACTATGTTTCCTTGAAGTGAGACTTTAAGCCACTAGTGTTTATGATATGTACATCATTAATCTTCATACTTTAATCTCTGTAGTCCTATTAAACATACTCTGAGTGCCTTATATTGTTTATTGGGATACAAAGTAGAATATCAACTAAAAAATCTGGGAAATCAATATTATATTCATGGCATTTTGTTTAATTTACATAATAAAGTTTATTGTTAATCATGTTGGATAGTTACCTGTATGTTTGCCTTGATCAATGGTAATATGGACATTCTAGAAAGGGTAAAGCTATTAATTAGAGACCTGCACAGCTTTCTTTCTTGCTAGTGTAATCATTAAATTGATTTTTCCAGTCCATCATGTAATTGTTCCAGCGATGGAATCCTGCTTTCCATTCTCGTTCTGCTTCATCAATATTTCCTGTAAAGCACAAAATGGGCTGTATTAATCTAAATTTGAATCTCTTTGTACATTAATTGAAAACTAATTTTCTCTAAAGAACTATACAACAGTCCCTCCTCTTTTTCTGTCACCCCCAACTATTGGAAATTCAGTAGCTAAAATTTTAAGGCTTCATCAGGAAGTAGTGAGTTCAAATGAAGATCTATCATTCTGGCGGGTTCTTAAGTATATTTATGAAGATGGACTTGCTCTCTTTACATTGCATATATGTTTATCAAAGATCAGTGTATCTCAGCTTTTAAAAGCAAGCTCTGTTTTAATTTTAATGAAGATGGGATTATTTAATACAAAGTTTATAGTACAGCTCAGATGCCCCAATAAGGATCATATTGCCACTCGCAGAGGTATGGAAGGGGTTAAGGAGCTTCATTGGGCTGGAGTAGCAGTGCCACTCCTCACCTGCAAATCATTCCAGGACTGGAGGAACTATTAAACGAAGGAAACTCCACTCAGCTGGGGTAACTCTGGGAAGGAAATAGGCCGCTGAATTTCCTCAGCCCCAGGAGAAGTGAAAAGCATGAAGAGCCCTTTTCCCCACATACAACTGGTGCAGATTGACTGAGCTAAAAGGAGGGGGGACTGAAACTTTCACTGGAAGGAACCCATTGAACTCTGAAGTGGACAGTGGACAAGTCCCAGGACCTTCTGAAGGAACAAAATCCCATGTTCTGGAGGGAACTGCTGACAGATTTTTGTTTAATTTCATTTGTTGTCTGTGGGCTGCTTTTTTGATTCACCTGGGTCCTGAAAAGGGGATGGAACAACCAAAAGGCCTTGGCTGAAGATTTGAGCTCTGACCTGCTAGAAAGAGACACCTTACAATACCTGTTGGGGTGGGGACAATAGGAGTAATGCCTGCCCTCGCCACATAGCTCCTGTATAGTGCACTCTACCATTGACAGAATCATGACAGTGCTGTACAAAATCTTATAGAGATAAGTGGTGAAATCACACTGCCATTCAATTTAAGCCTGTTGTAGAGAAGCACCCAAGACATTATCTTTAGATAATGTATCTAGGGAATTGTCCCAGAGGTGTCAATAGTACTGGAACAAATTGATTAATTAAACAATGAAAATTCATTGGGACTGGATGATATTTTTCTGAAGATTCTGAAGGAATGCAAATATTAAATTGAAGAACTAATTGTGTTATGTTACCTGTCACTTAAAATCAGACTTTATACCAGGTGACTGGAAGATAGTTACTGTAATGCCAATGTATTAAAAAAAGGTCCCAAAGGCAATGTTGGTAGTTAAATCTTGGTAAGCCTGATTTTAATACCAGACAAAGTGATTGAAGCCCTAATAGAGAACAGAGTTAGATGTAGATGGTCATGATAGGGAAGAGGCAAAATGGCTTTTTGTTGTGGAAAATTATGCCCCACTAATCTATTACAATTATTCGAAGGTGTCAACAAGCACTTTCTCGAAAGGGGATAAACAGTGAGGACAATAAAGTTTGCAGACAATAATAAATTTAAATATATTTAAATACTAAACTAAGTGTAAAGAGTTAAAAAAACTGGGCAACAAAATGGCCCATGAAGAGTTAAAACACTGGGCAACAAAACGGCCAATAAAATTCAATGTTGAGAAGTGCAAGGGGTATACCTTAGAAAACATAATCCCAGCTATACATACCAAATGATAGGATCTGAATTAGCTGTTACTACCCAAGAAAGCAATCTTGGAGTCATGGATAATTCTCTGAAAACTTCTGTTTAATGTAAAGTGGCAATCAAGAAAGCTAACAGAATGTTAGCAACTATTAGGAAAGAGATATATAATAATACCGATAATGTCATAATGCTCCTATATGAATCCATGCTATGCCCATAGCTTGAATACTGAGTGCAGTTCTGCCTACTGCATCTCAAAAAAAAAGATTAAAATGGCAAAGGTCAACAAAAATTATTAGGGGGCATGGAATAGCTTCCATCAATGCAGATCAAAAAGCCCATGATGGTTCATCATAGAAATGAGATGATTGTCAGTTAAATCATGAATGGTGTGAAGAAAGTGAAAGGGAAGGAGTTGTTCGCCCCTTAACACAAGAACCAGAATTACTCAATGAAATTAATAGAAAACTGTGAAATGCTTCGCAAAGGGATGTTATGAACACCAAAAGCATAACTGGATTGAAAAAAGAATTAGATAGCCACTGATGGAGTTATAAACTCCATAAACTTATTAGCCAAGATGTTTAGGAGTATAACCTTATGCTCTATGTGTCTTTAAATGATTGACTATTAGCAGCTAGATGGCAGTGGATAGAACATCTGATCACTGTCCTTCTGTATTTATTCACTTGGAAGCATATGGCACTGGTTACTCTCAGCAGACAGGTTACTGGACTAGATGGAGCAATGATCTGGTCCAATGTAGCCATTCCTTCATCAAAAGGGACAAAGGTTATTTGCAGGTCAGCTGAATTTTGACAAGAGACATTTAAATAACATTTAAAATTCCTTCCTAGTTTTAGTTACTGCAGGAATAATTCAGTGCTTTCACTTCTGGAGCAGAGTGAAGAGAACAACGAAGATGTGCAAAAACTATTAAAAAAATAGATGAACCAAACTTTTTGTTTTCAAAGCTACAAAATCATTAGGGCTTCACTAGATTTGGGTTTTGGGAAAAGTTCAGGTAATTGTTTTTTTTTTCCTTACCAGTTTTCTCATTATCAAAAACCCCCAAAGCTTTTGCTTTTCCAAATGTTAATAACATTCAAAAACTTTTTTGGTCAATAAACTATGTAAATATGACTCATAAGACCTATATGGATTGGATATGAACAATACTAAATGTTCTCTTTTACAGTCACTTTTCTGACCATAATTGCTGCTCTGTGCATAATTTTCTACTTTAAATAAGAAATCAGACTCTTAGATAAAACCAAATTATTTGCAACTATGTCAAAAGGATGGGTAATTTAGCATTTGGACCATTACTAGTATTATTTTGAGAAAAACACCTGGATTTTATTGCATTTCTTAGACTAGATTATGGGTATCCAGTCTAATTTATCCATGCAATGTTGCCCAATTATTGATTCACGCAACTATTACATTTCTTCATGAGTAGTTCAGGTACAGAGGCTCAGATATTTCTGAAGACTTAATGACTAGAAAATATTCATGCTCACTTTTTTTATAAACTTGAATACATCTCCTGTCCATACATCTTTAATCAGAAATAACTGATCTCAATTATAAATTATAAGGCATTTCAGTGCTTCCTAACTGATATAAGAAGTGAATGAGCTATTGAAAATGGACAATGAGAAACTAGAAAATAGCCACCACTATGAATCTAAAAAAGAAAAAGAGGCACTAAAGCCCTGAAATAAGAACTTGGGTTCCCATTTGTTTGTTCTTTTTCAGCAATAAGATCAAAATTGAAGTCACAAGTCAATGCATCCCATTATCACCAACATCATCAATCTCTTTGAAGCAACCACCTGTGACTTTAGATGGGCTGACAGAAAGAAGGCAAAAAGAGATTAGAGAATTCATCTTGACCAATAATTACAATTCAGAGCACAGGGTTACTTGAATTCACTAGCACACAACAAAAGCCAACCAATGAAATAATTAATACATTTTAATAGATGCAGTTTCAGTTCAGTTTTATATGACCAAATCTTCTATTTGCAAAACTTGAAAGATTTTGTCGTTGATTATCCAAAAATGGTTTGCAGGACATGATTATACATAAAATAATAAATTATAAAAATAATAACAATACATAATAATAATGAACAATAGACACTTAATAATTAACAAAATAGAGAGTCTTTGATTTCACTTGGCTTTGGTTCAGGCCCTTAATACATATTAAAGGGACCAGTTTGACACAGCAAGAAAACAGTGTTCGATATACCTCCAGATCAAACAGTTGGCAACACATCCCTGTCCACAATGCCTTGGTATGTCACTGTACCTTAATTCAGTGGAGTTAAAGCAAAGATAAACTTGGCTCCATGCCCTTATTTAACCCCTCTGTTAAATCAGACAAAAGGGAACGTGAATGTATTTTGTATTATGAACATTACGAGCTGGTGAAAGGTCACACAACAGTTATGATATAGTATAATTTACTAGGAAACATACATAAGTCAGGAGTAATGTTTCTGTCCTACCTAGCTGCTATTATGTACTGTGCCTGCAAATATCTTTCTGGCTCTGAAAAATATTAGAACTGTCCAGGTGCAAGGGACTGCAGGATTAGGTATATTTTGACATCTCTACTGAATGTTCTTTAGTCATCCATATAACTTTAGCCAACAAAGCAGGGTTTTTTTTGTTTGCTTGTTTGTTTTTAAGGAAATCACCACATTCTTCTTCTTCCTTCAGTCAGTGGAAGTGTTTGGCTGGTACAATATTTTTATAAGTTTTAACTTCCTTTCTAACTAGGCTGCAGGAAGATGAAAAAATAAATTAATGGACAGAGGACATTAAGAACTGTATCCTGCCACTCTCATATTAAGTAGTGCCTTACTCTGAGACTTAGTCCCATTGAAATCAATGGCGCTACTCAAAATGAGTAATGGTTGCAGAATCTAACCAAAAGGAATATGAACACTGCTTCTGATATTAAACTGTCGACTTGTGGCATTTTAATGATCTATAAACAAGTGAATATTTGTCTAATGTATAATGGTTTTGGATATGCTTTTGGTTGCAAGATAGCCAAGCTGAATTTTTAGCTTTCCTATGACATTTTTCTTAGAACATTCACCAAATCCTCTGATAAAGCTATACTGAAGTTTTATCTTTGTTTCTTCATAAGTAATATATAATGACACAATATCACTATCAATTTTTTTAAAAAATTAAAAAGACCAGAGGAAGTAATGGAGTGGAAACTGAAAGTTGTTCTGCCTATAGCCAGCTCAATGGGAGACAGACACAGTGGTAGTTAGGGCTCTGGATGCATTAGAGATTGCTGGCGTACTGGAAGGAACATTAATTTGGATACATTACATTTTGATCATTAATATTGGTTAGAACTGGAGAGTGCTCAAGAGTTAATAACTTATTTTGAGTATATTAATCTATTATTCTAATTCTTGTTCATTACCAGTTATGGACTAGTGAATGCAACTGACAAAGTGGGTCTTTGCCCATGAAAGTTTATGCTCAAATAAATCTGTTAGTCTGTTCTGCAAAAACAATGAGGAGCCCTGTGGTACCTTAAAGACTAACATGGCTACCACTCTAATACCATGTACCCAGGAAAGCTTATGATACCATCTACATGTTTTGTTAGTCTTTAAGGTGTGCTAGATAATTCATTGTTTTTTAAGTTTTTCCTCTAATACAGGTTAAGGACTTCTGGCTCTTAAATCTGAGGATCCCTTTAAAATCTGTTGTCAGGATGACTTCTATGAATTGTGCCAATGCTAGTACCCTCAGAATTATCGTTGTGCATATGACTATTTAAATCTGTTCCTGCCATGGTGTTGCATGCCCTAAGTTTTTCTGAAGGCCAATGAAAGTTGAGCATTTTCAGGATTGCAGCCTGAGGTAGCAAGAGTTCTGTCTTCTTCAGAATCAAGAACATACACCAGACTAGTCCAGTTAATGAGGCTAGTTGTATTGTCAGAACAAAAAATATATATTGTAACTAAGGGCCTCAATAGTAGTGTGGAAGTCCACTCCAAGGCAAAGGAACTAGAAAAGTTCCAAAACTGTACCAACACCAAATACTCAGAGACTGGCATTTCCATGTGTGTCTTTTTCTGTTAACTGCATGTGTGAGATTTGTTTTTCTCTTGTTCTAAATCTGCAGCACTACTATAAGCTTTGCCAGCTCTGGTCATTTTGCTTCTGTAGGAAACTGGAAACAGCCCAGAGCCATTGAACATTTTGCTGTCTCTTCTATTTTACTTCTTTAGCCAAGTGTCTGTCTTGCCTAGTGTGTGGTAAACCAGATTTGTCTACATGCTGAGCAGTTTTGGGACTGGCCATTATGTAGACAGGAGTCTTCAAAGCTTCCACTGGATAGCAAAGGAAAATGAGGAAGATGGCTCAGTACCAAAGGCCGTGTCCAGACTCAGGGGTTTTTTCAGGAAAAGTAGCCTTTTCCCGAAAAAACTTCCCCTGCGTCCAGACTCAAGCCGCGTTCTTTCGAAATTATTTCAAAAGAACGCGGCTTTTCTTTCGATGGTGGTAAACCTCGTTTCACGAGGAAGAACGCCTTCTTTCGAAAGTTCCTCTTTCGAAAGAAGGCGTTCTTCAATGTAAAGAGGCCGTCTTCGAAAGAGAGCATCCAGACTCGCTGGGTGCTCTCTTTCGAAAAAGCGGATTTCTCTTTCGAAAGATCCGCCTGCAGTCTAGACGCGATCTTTTGAAAGAGGCTCTTTTGAAAGATGCTTTCGAAAGAGCCTCTTTCGAAAGAAGCCTGCAGTCTAGACATAGCCAAACTGATTTCCCAGGATGGTAAAAGAGAATACCATATGTCTGCAGATGCCATTTAAAACTGAGGCTCTGACCACTAGAGGTAATTAAAAAAATCTACTGCCTTTTTTCAAGAGGAGGCATGTTACTTTTGGTGTCCTGTTCAGATTCCATTTGGAATTATTGCATTCCTGTCTACCTAAATTCCAGCTGCACTTTCAATTGGATATCATATATTTCATCTCTTCCTGTCCTAAATTGTTATGCATTGTTGTTATATATTAAAGCAGTTGGAAAGTGGAAAGTCGGCTGTTACAACCTTAGGTGAAGCGATCTTAGGCTGTATCTCTGTGTATGGTATGTAAAGTGCTTTGAGTCCTTTGGGAAATAAAGAGATACAAAAAAATATTTTTGAACTCAGTGCTTCATTGAAAAGAACCCTTGCAATGAAAATGCATCATAGGAAGTTTATCTGTGGAAATTAAAATGATTTTTTCTCATGTCTGGAATAGGTTGTGTAGGAAACTTAAATATACAAAGGTCCGACGTTTCTGTTCAAAAGAATGGCAATGCCAAAAAAAAAGACCACCCATTAACAACAGTCTGTCTCCTTCCTTTTACTTTTGGCGAGACTATGTTGCAGAAATTTTAAAAAATATTTTAAACATGCATATTAAATTGGGGATTAAAATAAATGATTTATAGTATATCAACTATCATACTTTCATGTGTCTAGGGATATCACGAGAGGTGGCTTATAATCCTTTCCAGCCCAAGGATGTGCAAAGCCACTCTACTGGCCTGCCAAAAGATGCTGAAGCATGTGTGTTGATATAAATCGTGTCACAGAACATTTGGTATACACAGTATATTTGTATATCAATAACATCATCCAAACAGATGGAGTATACAATTATCGTTTTTATGAGTAATGCCTGATGATCAAAATGCAGATTAAACCAACTGTGTGTAAATCTGAAATACCCACTTCTCGCCTGAAAATGACCCAAATTTACACACACACACACACACACACACACACACACACACACACAAACAAACATACTTGCTATTTTGTAAAATCTCCCACACAGCCACCAAATGGCAGAATGTCGTGATAATAGACATAGCAAAGTGGCACCCAAACAGCTAATAATACAGATTCCTTTCTGGTTTTTCTTATTTAATAAAATGAGGTCTGATGCTGAGAACTACTGGGTGTCACCTTCAACATACTGATGAGCCCATGCTACTTCTATTGAAATGAATGGGAATATTGAACTCAGATAATGCAGCATAGTATAAGAACCAAAACAGATCAGAATGGATTAAAGCAAATGGTTTCAATAGATAGTTTGAAACCATTCACATAACCCAATCCTACCCCTTTCAAGTCTGTGATTCAAACTCAGTAAACTGAAGTGATATGATCTCAGTCAAGTATAAATATATTGTTCTGAATCTGCTCCATTTGAAGTAAATGACAAAAATTATGACTTCAGAAGGAGCACGAGCAAAACTGTAATAGACCAAAGGGCACAACATAGAAATGGATTAACCATTTCAGAAAAATAAAATAAAAATCTCCTCTTGCAACCATAAACACTTACCCATTTCTAGAGCCAGCCATCAACCAAACCTTATGGTAGGGTGTGACATTATCACTTTACTTTTTCAAAACCTGATTTTCTTTTCACACACTTCTTTCCATCTAGGCTTAGATGAGAGTTGGAACTTTCAAAACATTTTTAAAAAGACTGTTCCTGAAAAATATGCAGAGGCACACAACTCTGATCTATGCCATGGGCTCCCTAAAGTGCAAATGCTACCAGAACCCTGACAGGAAGATCAGTTTCCAAGAGATATTTAGTTATTAAAGTCTGAATGTATTTGGATAGCATAACCAAGTTTCAAAAAAGTATCCAGCTTTCAGTCTTAATGACTAAATCCAAACTCCAAAACGCACTGACACCATAACTCCAAACTCTGTGGCAATTATTCATCCCTAATAAAAAGTTATGAAAAGTGATTGAGGAAAACACTTCAAAAGAACTATGCAGACAATCTTAATTAAAATCCAGTGGTATTTTGCATTGGCCAAATCCTGAGGTCTCGCCTTTCTTATATTACACAACCTTTATATAATTATTGTCTTCATGGTTGTCACGAGAGATTGAGCCTCCCTGGAATTCCAGAAATAAATCACAAGCTTCTCTTCAGCTTGGTCCTAAAGAACCAAATCTGCCAGCTGGCAGAAAACTCACATCCTGTGTGGATTAGGTAAAAAAGGGTAGAGCAAACTCATCCTAAGCATCTGCAGCCCTTGGCAATTCTAATTGCAGACAAGATTCCATTTTTGGCCATCATGGTCATCACTGGGGACTGAATTTGGTATCTCCATCATTAACAGCCTGCTGCGCTACAGCTTCAACAAAAACCCTTCAGCTGGAAGCTATAGCAGACTTATTTGTTCTCTGCGGATCAGACATATTTGGGATTGCATAACAAGTGGAGAAGTTATGGGATGGAAAGTCTGAGAGAGTTTGCCTGAATAAAGACCTCAGGATTTGGTTCCATTGAAATAATCTTTTCAAATATAAGCTTTGAGATTCAGATTGAAATACAATGCTGCTAACTTGAATGTTAGATAGTACTAAACAGAGTACTTTATGTATGCATATTTACCAAAAAGTTTACCTGTCATCTCCAGGACTTTGGGAAAAAATACATTCCAGAATCGACACTGCTGGGCACGTAATTTTGTATATATCTTTGAAGTTTCAGTGTTTAATGTGAAGTACTTTTGTTCAGTGGTTGTGAAGATTGGCCATCTGGTTCCATTAATCTGAGTCCCATTTGGAGTTCTAAATGATTAAAGAGAAATATTGCATTTCTCATGGGAAATTACCTGTGTGCATCAACAGAGTAAATTTATACTATTGATTATTTTGTTTCACACATCAATATGATACTTTGGAATGACTGGAGCACATTTATTACATGACAGAAATTTTAAAAAACCACCCAAAATAGTAAAAATTTTAATTTTTCATATCACTACATTTAATTAACAAAAGTAAAACTAATTATACTCCATTAAGATTTGTTTTTTCTTATCCTAAAAGAAAAAAAATGAAGTTAATAAAACCAACATAAATTGCATATGTTGAACACAGAATATCGAATTGAAGATACAAACTGTTATAAGTGACTCAAAAACAGTAAATTTAAGAGCTTGTATTACATATATTTTAATGTGAATGCTAATGTCTAAGAAATTAGTCCATTGGTCAAGTAGACATGGAAGGCCTAACTGGTAAAGGTTTGCACCTGTATTAATTAAGTGACTGGAGTCTAAACCCAGGTTAAAGCAAGGTCCAGGAGAAGATGATGATTTATTCTGTATTAGCAGAAAAGGCCCTTAATTACAATATGCTAAATGTCCCCATTGTGTTAATGAACACACAAAATCACAATTTATTCTCACTCTATCTACCCTGAATGAGTCTAGTTTTTGGCCACTGATGGAGACAGGATATTAGACTACAAGATCCACTGATCTGATCTGGCATGTCAATTTCTATGTTCCTAACTTTCTCACTTCTGTACTAATTCTGCTCTTATTAACTTATGGAACCCTTTTAACTGCACATTTATTTGTGGCTTCTGAAAAAATGACTTAAACAAAGTTGACTTGTACTTCAGTTCAAAATCAGAGTAGTAATAGTGCTGTCAGTATTCATTTGATAGCCTTTATGCTATAAAATAAATAATGACATTCCAAATTGTAATTTACAGATAATAATACGGTTTATGCCTATGAATTCAGATTTACTTTACTAAAAATGATTGAAAACATGATCAGATTAATATAGTATATTACCATACAAGAACATGCTGATTATAACATTCTCTCTGCATTGCTAAAATACTTAGGGTACATCTACACTTTCTCCCTGTCTCGAGATAGGGATGCAAATGTAGCTGACTGAAATTGCTAATGAAGAGGGGATTTAAATATCCCATGCTTCATTAGCATAATCTCACCTGCGCACTATTCTGATCGCCAGCTGATTCGAACCAGGAAGTGCGCTCCAGGCCGCATTAGTTCCAATGAAAACCCTTGGTTCGAACTAACGTTACTCCTCACAAAATGAGGAGTAATGTTATTTTGAACCAAGGGGTTTGAGTCGAACTAATGCCTGGAGCGCACTTCCTGGTTCGAATCAACTGGCGATCGGAATAGTGTGGGGGCGAGATTATGATAATCAAGTGCAGGATATTTAAATCCCCACTTCATTAGCAATTTCGGTTGGCTATATTTGCATCCCTATCTCGAGATAGGGAGCAAGTGTAGACGAACCCCTACCATCTTAACAAGATGTGTACTGTAACTCCCTTCTTACTGAAAATTTCCAGAGATTAAAAAACAGTTCCCAGATTCAGCAATACAAAGAGACCACAGGATTATAATCTTTTCAATTTCTAACAATTGTTTAAGTTTGTAATCATATCACACCTATTTTTCATTCCTTCTTGTTAATAATGTTGTCATAAGCATTGTAAATCCCAATATAATCTGGAAATTCTATGGTTTAATGGAGTAAATACAAATGAACTGTATTAAGAAGATAATGTTATCATTGCATGGGCAAGAACTTAAGCGTCAAACAAAGACAAAGATCAGGTTGTATGCACAGCTTGAACTCTGCCCCCTTGTGGAAGCAGAGTTCTATGTAACTGGTGAGAACCTGTTTCTGCTGATTTTTTTCTGTTCCCGGTTCATTGTTATCCATGGAAACCTGATCACAGTGTTAATGATTGCTTAGCTCCAAACTCTCCTCTTTATCATTTCTCCAAAACTCTCACTCCTTAGTCAATGTCCATTCCAACTTCTTGATTTTAGTAAGGCTTTTGACATGACATTCTCATAAGAAAACTAGAGAAATGTGATCTGGATGAAAATATTTTAAGGTGGATGCAGAATTGATTTAAAGACCACATTCAAAGAGTATCCATAGGTTGCTGTCAGACTAGGGGGCCATATCTAGGAGGATCCTTCTGGGGTCAGGCCTGGGTCCAGTACTATAACATTTTCATTAAAGACTTGGATAATGGAATGGAGAGTATTCTCATAAAATTTGTGGATGACACAAAGTTGGGTGCGGTTGTCAGCAGTGTGGAGAATGGGATCAGAATTCAAAACAATCTTGACAAATTTGGGAATTTGTCTGAATTCAACAAAATGACATTTAGTAAAGACAAGTTTAAAATACTATTCTTTGGAAGAAAAAAACAAATGCACAGTTGTAAGATGGGGAATAACTGACAAGTCAGAAACAGATATGGCGGGGTGTATTGAATCAGAGGTTGAATATTAGACAACAATGTGATGTAGTGGCAAAACCAGACTAAATCATTCTGGGGTATATGAATAGAGGTATTTATATGTAAAACACAGTAGATAATTATCCCACTTTATTCACCCCTGGTGAGGCATCAGCTGGCGTACTACATCCAGTTCTGGGACCTACATTTGAAAAAGATATGGACTTACTGGAGACAGTCCAGAGGACAGCAACAAAAATGAGAAAAAATTATTTAAAACCTGAACTAGTTTCATAGTGAAGAAATGACCTCAGCAACAGTCCTGAAATATGTGAAGGGGTATTATAAAGAGGAAGACAAGAAGTAAGGGTCTTAATATACAGCAAAGAATATTTAGGTTAGATATTAGGAAAAAGTGTCTTAACTATTAAGCACTGGCATACTTATCCAAAGGATGTCCAGTCAGGGAAGGCCTTGGTATACTTGCTCCTGCCTCAGAACAGAAGGTTGACTACATGTCCTCTTGAGGTCCCTCTATACCTACATTTCTATGATTTTATATTCCATTAATTTTTTTCTAAGAAAATGCCCTGAAACCATAACCAAGAGCTTTTCTGGGCTCTGACAGTGGCACAGCAGCTTATCATTCAGGGACAGTCACGATGACAAGTCCTTAAAAACATGAGGCAGGCCAAACTTATTTCCTGGTCTCCTCAGCAATATACTGATGAAAAGTAAACTGTTCCTTATATGTGATCTCCATCTTGAGTTGCAAAATTGGAGCCAAGTCATTCAGGTGTCTCAGTCAAGATCATTGTCAGACAAAAGTAGAATCAAAACCTCATCAACATGTTGTGTCCATCTCACACAATGTGTTCAAACATCAGGGCAAAGCTAGACGGTATCAGTTTTGCTGAATCATCACATTTAAACAAACAGAAAACTTTAGTAGAACAAAATTAACTCAGTTAACAGGGAAATTGTGGTATTCTTTCACTCAGAGCTTTATTAATCATAATAAATATATTTCTATTGCCTTATTTTTCTCAGTAATATGATTGATACTATTTGAGAACACAATATAAGCATTCATTACTTTTTATTAGTATTTCCTCAGCATTACCTTTATGGATGATTTATCAATCAAACACACAATTAGATTCAGCTTAATCTAAGATGATATACGGGGAATGTTCATCATTTTGCAACAGCTCATTACATTTTTTTACTAGCATTCAAGAAATGAATTCTCCAAGACCTGTAAATTAGTGCATTCAATTTCAGTGAAAGAGCATCCATTGAGTTTGCCCTTTTACTGCTCCTCAACACATATATGCTGTTGGATGCTGAAATGCCCCCTTGCCATATGTAATGGCCAAACCAGACAGTCTTGGTTTCTGTTATTTCCACTTCAATTCATCTGATGAAGCTCATGATACACTATATATATATATATAGTCTCTAAGGTGCTACAGGACTACGCATGTTTTTAAAGTTATAAACTAACATAGCTACCCCTCTGAGACGTTTTGAAGTATTCCGTTATCCTTTAGCTTAAGAACATAAGAATAGCCATACTGGGTTAGACCAATGGTCCATCTAGCTTAGTATCCTATCTTTTGACATTGGCTAATGCCAGGTGGATCAGAGAGAATGAACAGAACAAAGTAATTATCAAGTGATTTATTTCCCTTCTAAGCTTCTGGCAAACAGTGGCTAGGGACTCTTCAGAGCATAATTTTACATCCCTACCCATCCTGGCTATTAGCCACTCATGGACCTATCCTCCATGAACATATCTAGTTCTTTTTTGAATCCTGTAACAGTCTTGGGCTTCATAACATTTTCTGGCAAAGAGTTCCACAGGTTAACTGTGTGTTGCATAAAGAAATACTTCCTTTGTTTGTTTTACATCGGCTATTAACTGCATTTGGGCATCCCTAATTCTTGCAATATGAGGAGTAAATAAATACGTCCTTATTTACTTGTCTCCATGCCAATCATACCCTCTTCTTAGTCATCTCTTTTCCAAGATGGAAAGTCCCAGTCATATTAACCTCTCCTCATATGGAAGCTTTTTCACAAGTACTTTCAGCACTGGTAATAGTACACAGTAAAATATATGATCATAGCTTATCCACACAGCTATTTGGATTTGTGCATGTGTTTATACATGCATATGTATTAAAACAATGAGAAACTTCTCCCTTGATATAATGAACATGAGCAAAATAAGCAAGTATTCCTCTTTAAGAAGCTCATATGATGAAATACTGCACAACATTTTATCTCTTCATCTATGCCCAGACTTAGTCACTGTCACATGTCTTGCCATTCTATGAAATTGGGTAGGTAATTGTTTAAAGCATCTATGGTACTATAATAATGATCGTTCTAGCACTGGGTTCCTGTTCTGCTGTGTGGTTTCAAAACAATGGGAAACAATTACTTCTGTCTCCCTAACATCCCCATAGTTGATTTTACAAGGCCTGTAAGAACTATGAAAATAGCATGATTTGCTGTTTTGGGATACAGT